TCGATTCATGCGGTACACTGCTCAGCTACCGGTTATCGAGACGGGCAAGCTTCTACCCGAAATACTATATAGGATTCGCCATTTCACTCCAGCGTCCTGTCTGGAAATTTTCAAGGACTACTACGCCAAAATCCTGGCTACGACGAGCACGGCAAAGTTGAGTCCACCATTTTCTATCGGCTCATTCGTGGGGATTCGGCGAGATTCCTCACATTCGAACAGGTCTGTCATCTAGCCGGCGTGGTCCTCGAGGATTCTCCCACTTGGGAGGCCCGAGAGTGTCTGCTGACATGCTTGTTGAAGTTTAAGGCCAAGAACGAGGGAGTGCCGCCACCTGAAGTGGTCATCCACGCGATCAGCGTCTACTCTCGGCTGGGCATCCGAGACACGCATTGGGTGCACGTTTGCAACAGCACGCTGTATCCTCTGCCGGAGCTTCCACCCCCAATCCTGGCAATGCTCGCCTCGGCGCTGGCTCGTCTCTCTCTTCCTACGGTAGCAGATCAGTTGGGGGTTTACGTGGCGGCTCAGAATTCTGATTGGAACTCAGTCGAGCCATCAGCTGCAGCTTCGCTCCTCTATTCGGCTGCGCTATTTGCACTGCAACCTCCTGGGCGGCAGCCTGAGACGATGACGGCAGAAACGCTGCAACCAGCACTTGTCCGAGCACGACGGGTCGCGAAGAAGGATCCGGAGGTGGCCTCCGCTTTGGGTCTCTTCGCCGTTACAGATGTGGGAAAAGCCATGGGAGCGACAGCCCCTCTAGTACAGACTAATCGGCCAAGATGCGGCTTTGAAGTGTCCTTGCTGGACCACATACGACAAAACTGGACGGGAGTTGACATAATCGAGAACGCGGTGACTGTGGGACCTGTTGTGGCCCTAGCTGCGATATCTCCCATACAAGTCGCAGCCTTTGCTCAGAGGCGGGCAGCAATCTCGGAGGGAGACTATGGTGATGAGTTCGAATTTCCCAAGGCGCCCCCTTTGAAACCGGACGACTGGGTCATTTTGGAAGCTCTTTCGGACGGCCACAAGACTTGGTATAGGAAGCTTTGTATTCGCTACCGCCGTATCTACGTTCATTCACGTATCATTACTCTGAAGCCTTGGCGTCACAAACGATGAGACATCGCCGACACACTGTGAACGCAGCGAGATACGCAGAGCTGCACGCCTTGCGGACGAAGGGGTACCGAGTTCTCTGCGTCAGCGAGTACATGTGGCCGGTGACTCTGAGAAGCGTACTGACGTTATTCTCGATCATTCGCTCACTTGGCGAGCGGAAAGAGAGAAGTTGAGTGGAAGAGA